CTCACAGACACAGACACTCACACAGACACACTCACACAGACACTCACACTCACACACACAGACACAGACACTCACACTCACACACACACACACACACACACACACACAGTCCCATTAAGAGGCTGTTGAGGGTTTGTCTGGCATTTGAAAGCTCTCGTGTGTCTTTAACTCGCCCTCGTTTTCCGCCCGTCACACTCACATTCTCACTCACCAGAGGCTCGACCTTTGACCTCTGAGTCAGCGCCGCACTAACCCGTTTAACCCTGCTCGTCTGTGTCAGGTTATATCCTGTACTACACGCTGGACAAGAACATGCCCATCGACGACTGGGTGATGGAGCCCATCGGCGGAGACCGGCTCACGCACCAGGTCATGGACCTCAACCTGGACAGCGTCTACTTCTTCCGCATCCAGGCCAAGAACGCCAAAGGAGTGGGTCCGCTGTCGGAGCCTGTGCAGTACAGGACGGCTAAAGGTGAGCGGCTGCATCTCAAATCATCACCTGTGCTTCATTAACACACTCTAAACACTCACATTTCACTTTGATTCTCAGTCTGATTCTCTAATAAGCATCAAAATATTCAGCAGCATACAGAAAGAGAAGCCATTTCTAATTATGCTTATCGATTGAAATTTATAAAAATGTAATAAAAACAAATAGTAATCATTAAAAAGAACAAAAACTATCGTTAAAATCACAAAAACACAAAGCGAAATTACTAAAAACGTAACTAAAATTAAACTGAATTGTGAAAATATAAAAAATAAAAGCTCATTCAAAATAGTAATAAAAACACTTTAAAATAGGAAGACAAAGGAAAATATCAAGCAGCATAACACTCGTGGATGTGCGCAGAAGGGGAAAACACAGGCATGAAACAGAATAAAATAACACAGACATGAAACAAAGCAAGATTGATTACAATAGTCAGTCAAAAGAAACATAACAGTATGCATAAGCACAGATATGCATAACATACATGACATGCAGATGCATGAACCTGAAACAGATCAGAGAAACATGAGGTGAGCAGAGATGCTTAAAAGTGGACTTTGAGATCTTGTAATGATAGAATAGGAGTTATATGAATTTGTGAGGACCCTGGCAGCTGAGTTCTGAATATATTATAGCTTATTCAGTGCTGTAGTGGGTAAGCAAAGAAAAGTGAATTACAGTAATCTAACCGGGAAGTAATGAAAGCATGGACCAGAGTCTCAGCATCACAGATTTTTAAGAATGGACATAAACGGGGAACACTACAGAGGTGAAAAACAGCAGATTCAGTGAGTGAGGAGATATGCGACAGTAATAAAATACATTCACATGTGTCACATTTGAAGAAAAATGGAACATGCTGTAAAAATGGCTGTATGGGCATATAGAACATATAGCACCTGCATAGCAACACCCTGGCAACCACCTAGAGCACCCTAGTGATTTGCACTGCGAATGTATAAATGTAGTTTCTAGTGATGCTGATCATAATCTGCAGTATTTGTGTAGATTCCCTGTATTCTCACTGCGTCTGCGTGAGGCGTTAGGATGCACTATGAGGAGTTATGATTGTTAATGTTGAGCGTTCACAGATGAAGATGAAGGAAATTACACAGCGGCAGAAACACACTGACAGACTTTCTCTCTCTCTTTCTTTCTTTCTTTCTTATAGTTGAGCATCCTGACAAGATGGCCAATGATCAAGGTAAGCAGATGTGTGTGTGTGTGTGTGTGTGTGTCTGTAAGTGTGTAAGTGTGTGTGTAAGTGTGTAAGTGTAAGTGTGTTAAAGTCACAAAGAGCACAAATAATTGCTTTCTCACCGAACTCCCAGCTCTAATCTCCATCTCTCGTCCTCCCCTTTACAAACGGTCTTCAGAGCATCTCGGCGCTCGTCCGCTGCTGATAATTCTCCGTCTGAATGGACTGAATTGTAATGGGTTTGTTAAGAGTCTTTGAGTGGCGTGTTGTGTTAGGAATAGTGCAGTGATAACGGCGGTGAGGAGAGACGCGTGTCGCTGTCAGCACCATCTTTAAGGAGAGCTCCTTCCTTTGATTCCCGTCGTTAATTAAGACGCGCCGTGGCAGGAATGAACTCCTCATATGCTTTTAATTGACATCCAGAGAGAAACATTCAGAAAAAGATAGAAATGTGTCACCAAACACAATATATGTGAATAAACACAGTATTTTACTTGATTATTAGCCTAACCGTTTCACACAACACAGATTTTCTGAAAAAAATTAAACATTTCATAGGGCTCCATTATTGTACATTTTTTTTATAAATTATTAAATTGTTAAAATGTTATGAATTCAATTAATTTCACATTCTTTTTTTTTTTATTTTATTAAAATGTAGTTAAACCATTAAAACATGATCCAAATAAACTAAAAACACTGAATTTGGGAAAAACTGATTTCATAGGGCTCTAAAGAATTTTTTTGTTAAACTTGTAATAAATTGTGGTTAAATTATTTGTTTCATGATTTCAATTCATTAGAAATAAAAAAAAAATGAAAACAGAAAAAAATGAATTTGGGAAAAATAAAATGGAATTTGAGAGGTAGAAAATTGAATTAGAGAAAAAAGCAATTTCTTAGGGCTCTAAAAATGTAAATTTTGTTAAATTTGGAATAAATTGTTGTTAAATGGTTTGCTTCATGATTTCAAATAATTACTCATGCTTTTTGATAACATTAAACAGAATCCAGAAAAATTAAATCAGAAAAAAAGGCATCCAAAATAAACAGAAAAATACGTGGAATTTGGAAAAATAAAGTGGATTTGGTTCGGCTTTGACACAGAATAGTCTCATCTGATCTCCTGTTCAGGTTCATTTCAGTCCAGAGTTTGTGATCTTCATCTCTTCAGGCCTTGACAGAGTTTTGTCTGAGACAATAGAAACAGAAGACAGCGTTTCACTTTAGTCTGGAGAAAAACTAGTCGTTTTTATCTAAATAGTGCAGTGCATTTTAGAGTTTCTCCTCAGCGCACACAGACACTGAAGTAAACGAAAGAGTGTGTGTATGTGTGTGTGTTTCTGTGCTCATAAATCACAGTAAACATCATCAGGGCTGTGAGACTGATGTTTGACAGGTTCCTCGGGTCCTGCTCCACTTACCAAACACACACACAGGAGTCTGAAGATCATCAGCACTGAAAATAAACTCCAAACGCTCCCGATTCTCCTCCAGAGCCTCATCCGCAGTTTATTACACGGAGAGCCGGCTCACCTTCACTGGGAATGAAAGGAGCTCTCCAACACACACTAGAAAGCTCTCCGAGATCGTCCTCGGCGGATTTGGGGACTGAATTATATCTGAAGAGTTTGGTGAAATTATAGAGAAGACGAGCCTGCAGAATTACTTTCACAGCGAGCAGGGATCATTCTTCCTGTCTCGTTTTCCAGTGCAAAGATTCTTAAATCAAGATACGTTTTCTGGAGAAACAAAATGACATTAGATATTTTGCCTTCTGAAAAATGTATCCAAATGAAGTGACTTTATGCTTAAATCAAGAAAAAAAATGACTACCAGTGGAGTAGGAAAAATAATCCTGTTTTCCCTTTAAATTAAGTTGATTTTTCTGATTCCACTGGCAGATATTGTTCTTGTTTTAAGCAAAAGCGCACTTCATTGTGATACATTTTTCAAGATTTATCTTAACTGCGGGTCTTAAAAAGTCTTAATTCTCGTTTTCACAAATTAAGATACCAAAAGTTCCTAAATCAGAGCAGAAAGTCATAAATTCACAAAGTCGTGGCAATAAATATTACACATACTGCAAAAACGAATTTGTGTCATGTTTTCCAACACAACATCCTTAAATTACAAGTGTGTGTGAGTGTGTGTGTGTGTGTGTGTGTGTGCGTGCGTGCGTGCGTGCGTCAGTG